CGCCGCCATTGGCGGCGGCTCGGTGGCCGCCCTTGCCGCCGCGCTCTCCTTATCCGACCCGGAAAACAGGCGCCGCCTCCAGGCCGAGGAGGTCGGCGGCGGCGACAAGGAGGTCGTGAAGGACTACTTCAACAAGTCCGGGTTCGAGCGGTGGAAGAAGATATACGGAGAGACGGATGACGTCAACAGGGTTCAGAGGGACATCAGGCTCGGCCACTCCAAGACCGTTGAGAATGTGATGAAGATGTTGACCGATGAGGGCCCACTTCAGGGGGTCTCTGTGTGCGACGCCGGGTGTGGGACCGGGTGCTTGGCCATTCCGCTGGCGAAGGAAGGGGCCGTTGTCACGGCTGCTGATATTTCGGCTGCCATGGTTGCAGAGGCTGAGAAGCAGGTGAGTTTTTAGTGATTTGGTTAAAAGCTGCTTTTTGTGGTTGTGGGTTTTGGAGGGAAATGTTGAATTCGATGGAATTGCGGAAATTGGCAATGTGGGTTATGGTAGAATTGGGTTTTGCTATTCTGGGTTAGTGTCTGATACTGCTTCTGGCTAAAAGCACTTTCTCACCACATAAGCACTTTTGACCATATTAGCATAAAAACCTAAAGTACCTATGGGTCCTATAAGCATTTTATATTGAAGCACTTGATAAAATTTTCAATCTGTTTCTAATAAAAACATTTCTAGCTAAAGCACTTGTGAGCAGAAGTGCTTCTTACAGAGGCAATCCCAAATAGTCCCTTAGTCTTGGTGATAGTTTTGCTTGAATGTGAGGGCTGTGGTTTAGTCTCAAAGTTTTGATTTTTGTGCAGGCAAAAGAGCAGCTTAAGTTAAGCAATGGCTTCTCAGCAGGGCCAGTACTGCCGAAATTCGTAGTGAAGGATTTGGAGAGCTTGGATGGGAAGTACGACACAGTGGTCTGTCTTGATGTTTTGATTCATTACCCGCAGAGCAAGGCTGATGGGATGATTGCCCATCTTGCTTCATTGGCGGAGAATCGCTTGCTTATAAGTTTTGCGCCAAAGACATTGTATTATGATGTGCTAAAGAGGATAGGAGAGTTGTTCCCGGGGCCTTCGAAGGCAACGAGGGCGTATCTACATTCGGAGGCAGATGTGGAGAGAGCCTTGAAGAAGGTTGGGTGGAGGATAAGGAAGAGAGGACTAACCACTACACAATTTTATTTTTCGAGGCTGGTCGAGGCTGTTCCTGCTAATTGAGGAAGAATGCCATATTTGAGTTCTGCATTTTGCTCTGATACCGAAAATTCTTAGGATCTTCCTCTAACTGGTTGTAAAGCTCATTTACATGTACGTTCTCACGAATCTCATCCTCTTCGTGTATGTATGGCTTTTGTACTCTTTATATACTAGATGTTCATGTATCAATCCTAATTGTATGATGACAATTTTGTGTCTTTATATGAAATTTAAATTCGTTGCCTTAGATCCCAAGAAACAATTCTGAAATTTTATTATCCTGGTTTCGATTTGCATAGCTAGATGGCAAAAACTTGATAACCATAACAGTAAGCAGATGCAACGATCAAGTTTCCGAAGCTAACAATGATCTGTGTATCTCTTATGGAGTCTGATGTTGTCTGTAATTAACTACTTAAGACTCGAAGAAAGAAATTCGATAGCTTTATGTCAATAACTGGTACAAGAAGAAAATCAAAATGAGCCTACTAAGATAAAGATGTGTCTGCAGCTTCCTAGGATTTTTCGCTTTACCACGAAGTTTGATCATAGTTTGTCAGCAATTCTTGCTAGAACATCTGTGACCTTGCCGAGAGCAGCGAGTATGCTGTTGTTTTGCTCCTTCCTTTGTTCCCTTTCCAAATGGCAATTTATGTTATGAGCTTCAAGTTGCGCACTCAGCATGTTGCTGCTCCTTTCCAGAACTTTGACCAGCTGGTCGATGTTGTTGCTGTGTTCGCTTTCATCTGTCGACACCCGCCTCTGCTTCCATTTCTCCTGATAAATATTTTCTCCGGAAGTCTTTGAGCCTAGACTTCGTTTCTCCTTTACCGCACCTGTATGATCGAATCACAACAAATAAACAAAATTCAAGTTGTAAGTTTGCTTCAAGCCCAATGTGTCATGTTTTGACTAGGTATTCAGATAGACCTTTTGCATTCAGATGAAGAATCAAAAACCCGAAAGCTTATAGGATGATGATACACGATTGTAATGAAATGATTTCGATGCAAAGAAAATAAATCACCTGAATTAGGCATTGGAGTTGTGACTGTTTTTGTTGGACTGTCTTGCATAATGTTTTTGTTCTTCGATTTCTTGGCTGTCTTGTCTTGCCCAGACTCTTCAAAATCTGAACATAATCCATCTTCTGCCATATCATCTCGACCACCATGTAAATCTTTCTCAGGTCCTTCCTCCTCCTCTTCCTCTGCAGCCGCCTCCTCTGTTCCATCACCATCCATCGCATCTGTTTGCCCCGGCATAAACAATGCCAGTGGACAGGCTTCCGTTGCAGTCACTTCCTTTCCATCCAACACATTGTAAACCTCCCGATCAAAGAACCCAGGCAGCCTCCTCTCCCTCCTCACATCATTCCTCATCACCCAAAAAGACTCAGCCTCTCGCTCTATCTGTGCCTCCCAGTTCCTGATTTTCTTAAAATCCACAAGCAGATTGCTCCATCTTTTCCTGCACTGAACAGGCAATCTGCTCATGCCGCGCTGCCTGCAGTAAGATGAGACCAAATCCCACTTGGGTTCGAAATTTTCTGCCCCCAATGCTGAAGTAGATCGCCGCCCCCTCTGGACCGCATTCTCCACGACCCTCTTGCCCTCTATAAGGACAAAGGTCTCGTGTCTGGTCCATCGAGGATGCCTCGTGATCTTCGTTTTGTCTTCGCTGCTCCCGTTCGGCGTTTGCTGCTTGCCAGCTTGGTCAGGTCTAGGACTGGCAGCTTCATGATTCATAGACTCCAATGCCATCAGGAGACAGAAGGGTCTTCTTATCACACAAAAGTTTTGGTTAGAAATGATGAGGACTGTGCTTTTGGGACGATGGCTTCTCCTATAAGTATTTACAGCCCATATATTGCAAGTAAATCCTACAAATTAAGTAAAATTTACAGCCTAATCTTCAATGTATAGGCACTCTCAGTGGACAAATAATTCAATGTGACCGTAACTCTGCTACATCAGGTTACCAATCCAGTTATTTTGTAACACGTATATATCTATTAAAAATATACTCTAGGAGTCGGGAGTGTAGAAGCTTGTCAGCCATTGATGTTATGACACGTGAATTACTTTCACGGTGTATCATATGGTTTTGGGTGTAACCTAATCAGTTTTGGCAGAGTTAAGGAATTGCCTTGAGCCCAGATGTGGTACGAATCGCCAGTTAAGGAAATCAAAGATTTTGGTGGTTACATATATGGTATATTATTAATTTTGTGATATGCAAAAATCTGGGTTTGGAGACAACGGCAGATGCAAAAATGATTTCATTATCTTCCAACCATCATTACATAGCCATAATATAAGGATAAATTTTTATTTTTATTTTTAAAGAAACGATATTATCTACATTAAGGGGACGGGGGAGTGAGTTAAGCCTCACAATGGTTCAACAATGATGTGATTCAAATTTACAGAACTGAACCTAAAACATCTCACTTACAAATGAAGAAGAATATCATTAGATCGTAATATTAAATGACGCAAGGATAAACTTAATTATGAAAATATTAGCACCTATCCGAAAATCATGAATTTAATTTGCGAACGTTGCCCTGTTGAAAGCGCACGTTGTAGGAACTTCATGCCACATATTCATTAGATAAGCTTAAACCGTACTTCGAACATGTTTACAATTAAAATATATCAAAGACATTAGTCGTAAGAGACAATTGGAATATTGGTCCTCGAACTTTGATCCAGTTAAAGCTTTGGTCATTGAACTACAAATTTCTGAGTAGATCAATCATATTTTTGAATAACATCGTTAAAACTCCAAAATGAAGGGTTTCAAAGGGCAAATAATTGACTAAAATTTTAACGGAATTACACAAAAGAATCAATACTTCATATTATAACAAATTCAGGAACCAATACTTCAATTCAATTTAACATCAACACTCTGATTTTTTAACTGTAACCATAATGATCAAATGAAAAAAATTAAAGTAGGTCAACGTTGCACAACTAAAGCGGACAACATCCACACTAGCAACTACGAAGCCTTCATCACCATTACATCATAAACCTAGTCAAACCCATGGAACCTAAAACAACCAAAATTCCAGATTAACCTATCATCCTAAACCTTGATTGCGACCACGAATCAAAATCACATTATTATCAAACTCATTGCATTTAGCCAACTGCACATAAAAAAGGGTGATTCTAAGCCAATAAGGCTTTTCGCTTTTCAAGGGTCGAGAGACGAACATACATCATACGCAACACTACCCTTGCTTTTGCAAAAAGATTACATCCACGACTCGAAACCACACTGTTATCAAACTCATCGCATCTAGCCAACTGCACATAAAAAAAAGCGCAATCACATGCCAATAAAGCTCCTCACTTTACAAGGGTCGAGGAGGGGCAACGTATATCTTACGCAACATTACTCTTATTTTTGTAAAAAAGTTATTTCCACTACTCAAACCCACGACCTTTCAATTACAAAAAAGCAACTTTTATGCTGCGTCAGGGCTCAAAGGAATGTATATGAGGCTTCCAAGTTGAAATCTCCGTACTTGGAATATAGAAAAACAAAGAGTAATACTAGGGAAATCAAATTTTTTAAACCAAATGATGTGTCACAAATAAGAAATAAGCACATTAATCGACACTTAATTAATAATCCAATCATCTACAACTATATTATTTATTTTACAAATTTGATTTAAAAAGTTTAGTCTACCTAACATTACTAAAAAAACAAATACCATGAGACGACAAAACACAATAGCTGAGCAAAGTGGTGCGTTTAAACCCGCGAAGTTCAATCTCCATTTCAATTTACCAAACGTTGCGTTTGATCCGTTTTCCCGCGCGCAACTGGTACGAGTAAACGGAACCCTAGAATTTCCCACAGAGCAAGAAGAGTAAAAAATGGAGAGGGAGGAAGACGACTCGGTGAGCGAGCTTCTCAGGGATCGATTCAGACTCTCCACCATCCATATCGCCGAAGCCGAAGGTAAACGCACGCATTCTCCAATTTTCCACAATATTTCATTAATTTGGACGGTTCCGATTTCGTTTACAAATTCCCCATTCGCTGCGCAGCGAAGCGAAACGACATGGAGATTTCGGGCCCAGTGATGGCTTGCATTGCCGATTTGGCCTTCAAGTATACAGGTATTTTGTCTCTAGCTGTGATCTTTTTGCATCTTGCTATGTAATTAAGACTTTTGGGAAAATTGCGATGACCGTACGGTTTCGTTTAATCGATGATAGAACTGGCTGGAAAGTGGTGAGATCCTTGTGCTTGTGTGATTGAAAATCGAATCGGAATGCCTAATTTGGTAGGGATTTTAGTTTCTGAACTGGGTTTTTGGAGTTTGATAGAGAAATGAAATGTCGGATTAGGAATTGGGCTACTGCCTTACTCGGAGCAGAAATGAATTTTGATGAACGAATGTCGTTTGTGTGGACCGAAGCAATTCCAGTTAGATTTGTTTGTAGGAGGTGATTGAAACTGCAAAATGGACTGCCTCTTTTGGTAGGAACATTAGTTTCTGAATTGGGTTTGAATGAACCGAAGCAATTCCGATTAGATTTGTTGGTAGGGGGATTGTGAGAGATATTAGGTGATGATTTGAAAATTGTGACATTGCTTTTGATGTACCATACAATTCACCCTAAGAATTTTTATGCCATAAATTTCCTGAGCTTAAAAATTCTTGTGAAAGATGGGTTTCTAATGGAAGATTTGCAATTTTGCAAAGCAGAACAGCTGGCAAAGGACCTCGAGTTATTTTCTCAACACGGTGGTCGTAAAACTGCAAACATGGAAGATGTCATACTCTCTGGTGAGTCTTCGAGCCTTAGAGTTCTCGTTGATTTCAGCTCCACCGAGATTGAATGTTACAACAATGTGTCCCAAATTCTTATGAACCTAGTTATTATGTTCGGTCATCTATATTTTTTGTTTGAACTTTTTTCTTTGGACTCTGGATGTACTGATTCTTCTTGGAAAACACGGATTCAGTGCATAGAAACGAACATCTGGCCGCCTTGTTGAGGTTGTTCTGCAATGATCTGAAAGCGAAAGAACCACAATCCGAGAGGAAGAGAAAGAAAGCATCAAAGAAGGAAGACCAAGCAACTACCAGTGTAGTACATATTCCAGATTCTTAGCTTGGGCATGTCTCTGCCTTAACATGATTTACTAATGCACACCGGGATAGAGGGATTCCGAAAATCGGATAGAGGGATGAATCCTTGTTGTCCAAGTTTGCCAAATTTATGTCTACGTAAGAAATCTGCAACTTGCTTTGACCTTTTAGCACCCTCCAACTTCTGCATCATGTGACTTTCTGAAGAATCCTGAGTAAATAGTAAATACATATGAAAAGCAAAAGCCATTTCAGATTAAGCACCTAGCTGGTGCTTAATCAGGAAGCAATTTAAAGTGATTTTTAGGAAACACTTGGATTTTTAATTAACTTTTTAACATGTTTCTAATGAAAAATTAAAGAACTTTAATTGATAATCAAGGACTTGTCTGAGATTGCTTATGGAATGTGAAAAAATTGTTTTTTTATTAAAGCATTTTGAACTGCACGGGTAGAAAAATTTGAAAGTGTTTATAAGTCTGTTTGGATCCAAATTTACACTATCGGCCCATGCAATCAAGGTCATTGAGTGAGCATAACTTTACACCGTCAGATAAAAAATTGAAGATAATTTTAATAATGAATTATCTTAATATTTTCTTATGCAAAATAAATGGGATGGAAACAAGCAGAATAGTTCAAACTGATTTGTGAATCTGTGATGTTTGGCGTGGGGACGTGTGGTTTGAATCAGTTTGGCCTGGTTGCCAGACATGCAAGTATGCGATAAAGATAATTTTAATAATGAAATTCTAAGCCAAATCTGGCTAGAGTGGGACAGCCCAATCTGAATTTCGGTACTTTTCCACTGGCCCAATGGAAAATACCTAAATTGCACCCACTAAACGGAATTTTATCCAATGTCCCCACTTAAACCGATTTTCAATACTTAGGCTAAAGACCACGACAGGTTGTTGCATACCTGCATACAAAGGGTGGGCACGCCATCTATTTACAATTCTACAATAATTGTTATGAGTGACGATCATGACTCATGCGAACAATTATCGTAAGAAACGTTACATATACATTCGCTGTACTCAATAATAAGTGTTTTGGATCAAAATATTAAGAGTTGGTTAATTGAATAGGTCAACTAGGCCAGATCATGAGTGAATAGAAAACTCGAAAATGTACATAGCAGTTATAGCCGAAATACTTGGAATAATTCTACCACTTCTACTAGGAGTCGGTGGTGGATCTAGGAAATAATATTACGGGGTTAGTAAGAATAGTGCGCTTAGCGCTCAAATTTTTTTTTACCAGAAATAGCATGTATATCGCCATTTCATCGAGTCTTGGTAGGCTTGAAGTCATTTGGAAAGGCACATCTGCTAATGCTTCATTTGTGAGGGTAACTAACATATTCCAAGGCTGCTCCCATATGAATGCTTAACAAAAAAATACACTTATCTTGAACACACTAACAATGTTTGATATCATTGCATCCCATTAATATGTTTATCCAAGAATGATGATGTTTTGTTATTCACTGAGATCACCATTTCATTCACCCTTCTTTCAGACATTTTATCAAACAGTTGGAGGGCATGTATGAAGCCAACTTTAATCTTCAAAAGGGCAGTACCTAAGGTATCCATGGACATTCACCGAAGTTTGAAAGGTCAGCACCCAAGGTATTCATGGATGTTCACCGAAGTTCGGGAGGTCAGCTCGCCCGCCCCGCCCCACAATGCATCTACCACTGCTGGCAGTAGCCTTTTTAGTGCTAGCATAGTAGGAAGGAGGGAAGATTTTCAATCTTATTTTTAAATTTTGGGATTGTTTTTGTTTCCATAATGAAATTTATATGAAATGAGTTTATCATTACGTAATGTTTCAATCTAATAATACAATATAATATGAAGAAAAAAGTCACGATTTATATTATTTGATTAGGACATCACGACAACGGTAATGTTGTTTTAAGTAATACGATTCTAAGTTTTTGTGGTTGTTAAAGAAGGGTTACGAAATTGGGTTACTTTTTGTCAAGGTCATAGATTTATTTTTGGGTACAAAGGACCAAAGATATTTTGAAAGCAAAATATGTAGCGAGTTTTCAGGAACTGAAACCTTTGTCCTTGGTCCCTCCCCAAGGCAAAAAATAAAAATAATAAAAATAAAAAGGTCCTTTTGTGGTTCCAGTTGTCCCATCTGTGTCTCTTGCAGCAGAAGCTATGCGCCTTTTATATGTATAGTTTCTTCATCTGGATTCTGAAACCTGCAAAATATGTACATCAGCATTTTAAATATTTATTTACTTTTTCAGAAGAAGAATAAATTGTAAAAGTGTATTTATTTAATTTTATTTAATATTTTTGTGATGGGTGATTGATGGATATATTTTGTCCTGCCATGCAATCTGAGGGTCAGGATTCCTTCAGGAATCACAGCATCGGTAATAATTGGAATTGGATAATCTCCGAGGCAACCCCTCGCATCCTCCTAATCGGTGTTAGTGAGCCGTTTGATTTTTATCTGACGGTTATAAATATGAAGTTTTATAAAAGTTATAATAATTGTAGCTGTTTGATAAAAATTCAATTGCCTACTAATCCTGGTCAAGAGGATCACGAGAGTTTGTTTCGGAGAGGATCCAATTCTATAATAATTAACTAGTGTCCACAGAAACCCAGAAATGAACAGTAATGTGAATGCATTATGCATGCGTGTGGGATTGATTTACTTGTCCTCTTTGCATCTCAAGACTCTCTTTCATTGTAGGTGTGCAATAATGCACGACGGATTCACCGTAACGTTCGATTTAACAATATTATTATACAAAGAAAATTTAATGTCTAGCGATATGTTATTAGACCGAAATGTCACGTTGTGGTGAATCTGTATATAAATAGTTCACTTTGCAGAATCAATGATGGTCTTACAAATTGTACCAAAGGTACGGATGAATGTGTTGCTCCATACACATGTGTAAAAGATGATAATCACACTTGTTAATAATTTTAAAGTGCACTTCCGATTTAGTTCTTAAATTACCACATTTATCTAATTTTTTTTTCAATTTAAGTCATACGATACATTTTAAAGGGTAATAATGTCACTTTCTTGCCTATAAGGCTTTTTCTTTTTTGAACAAACGACATTATATATTAAGGGGTGAGAAAGTGAGCTAAGTTTCACACTGGACTAGCCATAATAATATGATTCAAATTTGTCTTTGACAATAATAGAACTTAAGACCTCTCACTTACAAATGAAGAGGAATATCACTAGACTATAGTACTAAACGGCAAATTATCTTGCCTATAAGCCTTCACATTGCATATATGTTGCAAAACTGACGTCTAAAATTAACTCATACACTATTTTTAAAATAAAAACTCATTAAACTATGAAAAACTACCAATCTACGTGACTTAAATTGATGAAAAACTAGATAGAATAGTTTCGAATCTAATATTAGGAATGTATGTAATTGGCAATTTTTATTAGTTTAAGGACTGATTTTTTCGAAAAAATAATAATTTAAGGACTTAATTTCATGCAGGTGATAATTTAATAACTAAATCGGCAGTTTATCCATAATTTTATTGACAAAAATACACCGCCACAATACTTATCTATATGTATTATGAAAATTTGTCTCTTAATTAATTTTGTTTATACCATACTTGACCAATCCCGAAACTACTGAGCACCGGTCAACGTTATACCGTCAAGGACCCATAAGAGTTTCCCTCAAACCAGGAGGTCAATCACAGCGCGACACATGTCGACATCAGAAGCCAATCATAGTGCGACACGTGTCAACATCAGAAGTCAATCACAACACGACACGTGTCAATGTCAAAATGAAACTAGAAAATCTCTTCTATAAATAGATATCATTCTCCCACAATATTTTCGAATGTCGTTTGTACTAAATCATTCACTAGTACTCACTAAAGGAGAGTTTGAAAACCTATGTACTTGTGTAAACCCTTCGCAATTAATGAGAACTCCTCTACTCCGTGGACGTAGCTAATCTGGGTGAACCACGTACATCTTATGTTTGCTTCCCAGTCTCTATCCATTTGCATACTTATCCAGTGACCAGAGCAATCTAGAGAAGGTCACAAACTTGACACTTTCTGTTGTACCAAAGTCTTCGCTGATTTTGTGCATCAACATTTCGCACCGTCTGTGGGACGACACTTATTCCCACTTTCTTCAGCTTTGTTAAGCTGGTTTCTACCATTCGTACACTCTCTTTTGACCAGACATCCCTTTCCAACATGGGGAGCGAAGGAAGCCACAACACACAAAATGACACCCCTCTTGCACTTGGTGCGAAGCAACAAAAAAAGTTTGTTCTTCAGGCTAAAGTCGATGAGCTGGAGGCTCAGAATAACAAGATAGCGATGAATAATGAGATCCTCCAAAAGCAGTATGAGAAGGTCTTCGAGATGCTCCACGAGGCTACATATACTAAAGCACACGAGCTCATCACCCCTATGGAAGTCAACTATCAACTGGGTGCCCCCCAACACGGAGGGTCATTTGCCCTCGACATGGGTATTCCGGTTGAGGAGCGAGCTACTCATCGAAATGGTGACCAACATGAGACTTCTCTCAACCCAGCTGTTTCGACCCGAAGTATGAGAAGTAAGGAAGGCACCTTCTTACAGAAGGAATGGAAGGATTGAAAGCCGTCTTTCGCGACTGTCGAGACTTCCTAAAGCAACGTCGAGACAATCTCATCCATGTAAGCTCGAAGATCAATGACCCAAGGGTCTCTGAAAGACTCGGTCCCCTCTCATGTCCCAGGCTGGCTACCAATTTGGGGAAGGGGCAACAAGTCCTAGAGAAACACGAAGGTATAGGGGACTCAGAGATGTTTCGACAGACATACCTTGGAAGTTAGTACGACGAGTCCAGGGAAAAATCACATGCTCTTGATCAAACATTCCTACTTCCAAGAGGAGATGGATATTTACGAAAGAAAGCTCCAGTGGTACATGACTCCACTCAGAACCCTCTTGTCCTACAACTCCTTAATGAAGTAAACAAGTTGAAGACCGAATGACAAGCTGAGATACCTGATTGGAACCAACCTAGGCTTGGCCCTCTTACAAGGAGGATCCTCGACACCCCCTCCAAGCAAAGACAAAGCAAAAGCTTAGCTTGCAACTCTATACTGGAAAGGAGGACCCGATTGAACACCT